CCTCCCGCAATCTCCCGCAATCGGGCCGAGTCCCGTACAGCCTCATGTAACATCTGCTTTATAAAATGTCGAATGTACTCTGGTGTAGAACCGTGCCGATGTCGAACGTGCTGGGTGGTCCGGTACGCCGCGTAGTTAACGATCGCGATGATACCCAGATGTTTCTCGGGCATTGCGACAGCCAACATCCAATGACCAATGCTGCGCAACATGTTCGCCTCGGATCCTGCTCGCAGCCCACTGGCGGATGACCCCGCAATGAACGTAGTGCTCGACCGAATCCTGGGCGCAGCCGGGGCAGCCCAGCTTGCATCCCCCGTCGTTGGCTCGCAATGGTCGCATGCGGCTGTCCGTCGTCCATCAATTGAAAATCGTGCTGGGCATCGCCGAGCGGACTCTGGGTGGGGCGACTGCCTTCAAGTTCTGCAAATTACGGCGGACACGCCGAGCTGTCTGGCCCGGGAGCCCAGTAAGCCGCCAACGATCCAGTTTGTGCCGTAGTCGCACTTCTGGGGAGAAGCCGTCGCGGGTCAGCACTTGTTGTGCAAACCAATTCTGCGTACCCTTGCGGTACTCCCGCTCTAATTTCTCAGGAAGCGGCCCGACTCGGACACCTGTGAGGGCCTTCCTGGCGTCAATCATGCTAATACTGTGGGTTGCCGCTGTCTTAGCGATCCTCTCGGCCAGCGTGGGGGCGTGGGAGGCGTACCACCTGTACCAGCAAGCCAGCCTGTTGGGGAACTCCGCGTAGCGCATGGCCTCGGTGAGCTCAACGCAGAGATCTGCCCACGCGATGCCCCCGGCGCGTCGCTCTCCCTCCCATGCGTGCATCCGCAACATGGCCGCCTTGCAGGAGACGATTGCAGGGCGGAGCCGGCGTGCGAGTCCGAGCTCTGGCCCGTGGTGCAACTCGGCAGGGCTGCACCACTCGCCTGGCCTGGGCGCCACGCGCCGCGTTGCTCGAGCGTCCAGTTCGGCTACCTCGTCGGGTGGTTGCTCCAGCTGTGCGACGTAGAGTAATACAGGAAGCACGTAGACGTTGTAGGTCTGTAGTGCTGGGTGGGGACCAATCTCAGCCCACGGCCAGTCGAGGAGCCGAGACTCGAACTTCTTCATGGGTTTCCGCCGCGAACGGGTGCTTTTGCCATGGCCGATGTAGAACCCGAGGTACTTGCTTGTGGCTTCCCACTCGATGCGCGGCATTCCTTGGTCCGTGGGCATCCTGTCCTTGACGGTCGTTGGATCCTCCTCCCAGAGCGGAATGACAATGGTTTTCGACAGATTGAGTTCCAGCCCCCATACTGAAGCAAAAGCAGCAAATGTTCGAAATACCTTATTCGCCTCGCGGCGCCAAGACCGGAGCACCATCGCCACGTCGTCTGCGAATGCCCGCGTAGTAGCAGTGGAATGTCGGTGAGAAAGAGCCCACAGAAGCCCGTCAGACGCAAGAGCAAGTAGCAGCGGTGATAGAGGGCAGCCCTGGTGGATGCCAGCTGTCATGGGCACCCGCGAGCACATCTGCCCGTGCAACGTGAGGATGCCGATCGTGTTGTGGTAGAGCGACCCCAAGACGCCCATTGCAACGCTGGGTAAGCCAGCTGCTGCCGCCGAGGCCATCAGATACGTGCGGGAGACACTGGGGAAGGTCGCGGTGAAGTCAAAGAGAATGATCACCGCATCCTCTTCGATTAAAGACGCCCGCATGGCCTCGTGCTCGATATCCAATACGTTACGAAGCATCGACCGTCCCTGTATAAAGCCGTGCTGGTTGGGGCTGACGGCAGGTGAAATGATCGGTTCCCATCGTAGTCTGTAGGACTTCGCAATTACGCGGTTGTCCGTGTTCGTAATCGAGAGGGGGCGCGTGGACCCAGCCTTGTACACGTTAGCGCCATCCTCGCAGACGCGCGTGGGCTGCTTCGGTAAGCATACCAGTAGGGATTCGTTGAAGGCATCGTGTTCCGGCAACCCTGCAGTAAGGCCGCCTTCCCAAAAACGCCCAGTCTCCTATAGCAGATGGGTACCCAGATTGCCAAGCCATCTCCACGCTCCGAATGGGATGCCGTCTGGGCCCAGTCTGGAGTCCCCCGCAATCCGCATGGCCCGCGTAATGTCCCAAGTTCGCAACCTCCAAGCTCGCATCTCTGACTCCACGCGACCCGCGCCGGCCTGCCTCGCAAAGCGGAGCCATGTCTGGAGTTGGTCTGCGTCGATGTCCTTGTTGCTGAAAACCCGTGACCAGTGCTCGCAGAGTAGCATTGCGATGCGCCCCGAATCGGTGTAGACCGTCCCGTCCTCAGATTCCACAGCATCCAGGCTGGTACTTTGGGTTTTCCGGGTTAGTCTGGCCAGCCGGTTGTTGAAGCTATTCCGTGGGACCCGAAGGCTGTACTCGTCCGCCTTGTCCGCCCCTTCTTGCATGCGCCTCATATCTTGTAGCAGCTCGTCTTTCGCGACCTTGGTGGCCATTGTCTTAAGATTGCGCAGGGCGTCCGCGAGGGACGTACCGGGGGGCAGCACGTCGCCCCGCCATCGCTCAGGCAATCGATCCCGGAGCGCGGCGGTGGTGGGGATGATGCCGCCGACGATGTTGGCGATCAGGCGTAATGCTGTGGCCCATGAATCGGGAATGGACTCGCTGGCGAGGTAGTCCAAGCCACTCCGCGTTTCTAGCATTGCCCGGCACACCGTGAACATGGATTTCTTCATCAACGCCAGCTTCTGCACCGAATCTGGTGGATGACCCGTTGCCGCGGCCGTGTGCACCTGCTGATGGTACTCCCTCGATACCCGTTGGGGCCAGTCGGGGTGGCTCACTATGTGGTTCGGCAAAGGTGGAGGCTTTCCATCGTGGTCGGTGACGCGGCGCCCGTAAGCAACTGGCCTGTGGTCTGATTCGTTCTCCGATCAAGGCAACGCCGCAACATAGAAAGATGATGTGAAGAAGTCTGACGTGTGGTGGGTGGTAGAAACTCGATCAATTCGGGAACGGCTGGTCGCCGATCTGTACGTCAACGATGATTGGCTCAGCTCGAACAGGCCCAATGGCTTGCCCAGTTTGTCTATCCAGTGAGCCTCTTCTGGTGCATCTCTGTGCCCAGTGGCGCTGCTGCTGTCCAGACAAAAACGGTCGAGATCCTGCGTCAACCAGTTGAAGTCCCCAGCGACAATCCAAAGTGCTGCGGGACGAGCTCGGAGCAATACGCGGAGATGCTCGCGCACCTCCCTGCAGGCAGCAGCGTCCTGTCCGGAGGGGAAATACGCCGTGGCAATCGACACGTCACCAAGCGGACCACGAAGATGCAGAGCAGCCAACCGTCCCGGCACTGTCTCTTCCCAACTGTTCTGGTCCAGTGTGTGGAACTTCTGTAAGAACGAATGTTTCACGAATAACGTAATCCCCGCTTGCTGCTGGGCTCCGTGCGACCAATATGCCCTCACTTCTGCTGGGAGCTCGACCGCGGGGTCTCCTGCACGTGCACCATGTCGCGTTGGTGAAGCATGTTGTATAAATATCGCCCCTTGCGAGCTTGCACGTCCAGATCGTATGCGAGTAGGCTGGCGCTGTTAGAAGTGACGCCGCTGAAACCTCCAAAGTAGGGAAACTGTGAAGGACGAGAGCCCGTCGCAAACGTTCATCCCCACTAGGGGGGCGGTGGTGTAGTCGTCGCGTCGGCCAGCTGACCCAGAAGAGCGACTCGAGGGGGAGGGAATAGAGGAAGTGGTGCTCCATGTCGTACTGTACTGAATTCTCCAGCAAGCACTGTAAAGAGAATCTCCGACTGGTCGAAGTTCGCACAGTATCGCAAATGGGATGGCCTGCTCCCCGCAGGCGCCAGATCATGCAAGGTGCGCAACGCTGTCGCGGGGGTGAAGGGCGAGCGGAGGGAGATGTAGTCGTAAGGGGAGGGGCGTGGGTGGAGGCGCTGGGATCGACGACGGAGCCGCTCATGTGCGCCTGGGGGGGGGACCGGCTCCTCGAGTCCCCCGCGCCCCGTTTCCCGTCGCCCGGCCATCGTGCTCGGTGTTGGCATAGTCGTGCGAGATCATGATCCCGAGTCTGCGGGTGCCAGCGGCGCCAGAAATGCAGCACGAGTTGAGCACAGTCGCGATGCTGCGAGTGGCCTCCGGCGTGGGCGCGACAATTAGTAAACCGCCGTCACAAGCGCCATCGGGGCGTGACGCCGGTACCAGCTGCCCAGGCTGGGGCTCAGACCCCAAGGGCGCTGTCCATGAGGATGAGGAGGAGGAGGAGGAGGAGGGAGGAAAACAGGAAGGGGGCGGAAGAGGAGGAACGCGAGGGGGAGAGAGGGAGCGGGAAGGCGAGGAGGCGAGGCGAGTGTGGAACCGCAGGGCGCCGCAGATTAAAAAGACGAGGACCCCGCAACACGGGTGGGCAGCGCACACCGCGACACCAGTGCGACCTGTGAGGCCGAGGGCTGCGGAGCCCCACGCAGTAGGAAAAGCAGGACTTCGGACGTCGCGAAGGGTGCGCAGACAGAACGAGAGGAAGGAGAGAGGAGGCATGTGGAGGAGAGGAGGAGAGGCCGTCAACCCGGGGGCCTGAAGAGGCCCCGCTGGAACCGAGCAGAGAGAAAGGGCCCACCCTGCAAGTCCGGTTCAACAGCACATCGTTGAGCGTTGCTGCAGCTTGCAGCTTCCCCTGAGCACAGGCCCCACCCCCCAGAGCATCAGTCAGACAAGTCGGGTTTGCACCTTCATGCAGAGGATGGGAGAGGAGAGAGGGAGACAGAGGGAGAGAACAACAAAAAAAACAACAACACAAACACGCACACACACACATTAAACTTAGTTCGGAAACAGAAGACCGCAGGAGGAGCGCGAGGGAGGAGGACGAGGAAAGTGGGCCTTGCAACTCAGCTGTGGGCAGCCAGATTCAGAGGTCCCCGAGCCACTTTGCGCCCCCTCTTGTTTGCCACGCAGCCCTTCACTTACCCCCTCTTCGGACCACTGGATGTCCGTCCAACGGCAAGCGCCGCGGTCCTGGTCTCTGTTCAAGACGACGGCGGGGAGCCACTCCTTGTGGGTGCTGGAGTGGTACTCCACCAGTGCACCCTTCTGGTACGTGCCGGC